AGCAGACTCCAGACCAGTCAGTGCCAGGATCCGTGTGCCCTCAGTCAGTGCCTCAGCTTCAGCTGGGCTCTGGGATGGGAGCATCCACACAGAGCCAGAGGCCCCCACAGGGATGGCTCCAAAGCTTTTCAGGACATCTGCAGGCTGACAGGACCTCAGTGCATCACAGGTTGGTCTGGCATTGAGTGCTGACTCAGAAGGATGCTTGAAGGCACATGGAAATACCCCGGAGAGGGCAGAACTACAACCAGTGAGCTCCCACAGCATCAGCTCTCAGCTGGATTCCATTAAGACATCCACCCAACAGAAGCTAAATTGTCACATCTCTGCACTCCTGTCCCACAGTTCAGCAGGGAAAAAGGACTCACTGTGACGTTACACCCCTGAAGATTTCTCTGCAGTAGCTTTTCTCCCAGACTCTTCAAAAGCACATCACACAGGGCAGCTGCTTTCCCCTCAGGGAACAGGCTGCAGGGGACTTAACAGTAACACACTGGTACCCAGGCTTCATGAAGAGGGCTGTAAGCTGCTGATCCTGCAATAACACCTCCAAGGATTTAGAGTCTTTAATGGTGATTGCTGAATATTTCTGTTCCCGTCTGAACCATTCCAACAGTTGTTTCAAGTGAATGTATTCATTCCCTTCCTTTTAACCATTGGAGCTTCTTGCTTGGTCTGGGAGCAGGGAAGAGGGAATGAAAAGGTCTCTTCAAATTTGCTAGAGCTGCTCTCTTAAAAGAGAGCATTGACACGGATCCTGCAGCTCCCACGTGCAGCAAGGCTCCCACTGGAGCTGCAGGCACAGAGAGACTGCAGGATCCTTGTGGGCACTGCAGGAGGAGTGTGGCTGCTCTCCTCCCTGCTGGATGGGAGTATCGTATCTATTCCTAGCATGGCTCTACCAGGTGCTAACATTCCCCTGCCAGCATGCCTTTGGTTTGGCTCACCTTGAAAGCTATGATGTTACATTATATGATGACGTCATTATATTTATTTCAGCTTTCAATGAAGATTCCTGGCGAATCTCCAAGCTGGAATATCTTCTCTTTAATGTGTCCATGATCCAGCCAATGTGGTGCAGATTACATTTATATAGCACAGCCCAGTGAAGTGAACTGCTGGGAATTTTTTTCCAGGTGTTGACGTAATTAAATTAAGATTATTTCTCTATTAAAACTATGGAAGAAGAAAACCTTGTCAGTATTTACCCAAATACTACTGCTGTAATTTCCAGCTGTGGTTATTTTGGTGATGACTCCACAGTGTCCTCATGCAATCTCAAGAACTCATCTTTGTGGTCGTATTTTGAAAATTATAAAAGAAATCAAATAGATTTTTCAATTAAGTACGTATGCGAGGAGACAACACTTTAATGTGTAATGTTTCCCAATTGGTTTATTTTCTTCACACTATCTGAACTAATTTTGAATCAGCTAATTTGGACAAGTTACTCTGGTTTACTTTTTTGTGCTTTTATTGACTGTGTTCCTCTTAGCACTTTCAAAGTAGCCATCATCACAACTTTGATTAAAAGCCACATGTTTTCCCCTGATAATCAGAAGTATAAAGCACTGGAGAATGATACACAGAATACTGCTCTGCACTGACAAAAACAATGGCTTGGATGCTAAATGCAACGTCATAGAGGAACCTCTCTTGACCACCAGGCCTCGGCTTCATTAGATTTTGAATAAGCACGTGGTGTGAGAGAACAGATTATTCTGATAACGACTGACTACACTGGCAAAGAAGACGAAGTCCTGTGCTCCTCACAAGGAACTGCAGCACACAGGTTAAGTGACAGCTGAGCCTGGCAGACACAGAAATGAACTGAAATTTCCACTATTATGCTTTAAGACACTAAAATTGCAAAATAAGAAACTGCAGAGTATCTAAAAGCAAACATTAAACTTTTCCCTTAATTCTTCCCTACAGTGGTCCTTGTGCAGTCTTATGATGCCACTACAAAGATCAGCAAAGAAAAACTGGCTGTGTTATGAATTGATTTCTATTTAAAAGAGCTATAATTCAATTTTGCTATGAAAACATATTACAAAATCTAATATGAAATAGATTTGCATAGAAACATTCATCAGAAAGATATTTTATTTGTTTGGCTTGAAACTCTTCCACTACAAGCCAAACATTTCAACACTAGGGCAGGAGGAGCAGAAAGTGGACCTGACCAGAAACAACAGTGAAGGCTACTAGTTTACTTTTGATCTACCACCTGACAAAATGGGTGGTGAAACTTGATTTTTTAAACCCCAAAATATTCTCATAAATTTATTAACAGGGTGTTATTGGTTAAAAAAAGCATGTATTACACGATTCTCTGATGACAATGATCCTTGGATTAATATTAAGACAGATATGGTGATAAATATTTAGACTACATTAACAGCATACTCCTTTTACACTCACATAACAGTCACAGATACACACTCAGCTCTGCACGCACAACAATTTTTAAATCTTGAGGCCAGCAGCCAGAGGTGGTTTCCAGATGAAGTCCCTGCTTGCCCCATTGCTGGGATCACAGACAGATAAATCACTGGGTGAGCCCCCTCGCTAAGTAGTGGGAATATTACTTTAGCAAAGTTTGCTAATGGGGCAAAGGACCTTGTATTGTAATCCAGTGACATTTTCAACCTTCGGAGAACTTTTGTTGACATTCCCGAGTCCCTGGCTGCCATCCCAGCATGAAATAGTTTCTGTTCACATAATTCTCATGTTTACCAGTCATGAAAAACTCTTGCTTTTTTTTTAAATAAACTTTTTTTTTTTTTTTGCAAGTGAAACTCTGTCTAAAAAAATATTGGCCCCAGGCATACAAGGTTTTGCATAAATTCATATGTGATGAATGGCTGATTTTAATGTTATTTGGGTATTTGTCAGAACCTAACAAATATACATGGTAATGGTGGTTCATAAACTTAAACATCTCAATATACCCTTTCTTCTGGAAATAAATTACGTTTGTTTGCCCTGCCTGGAGTCCTAAGGTAGCCGACATTAGGAATATTTTAAATGTGATCATCCATCCAGCATGTCTTTCAGGCGCCACGAAGATTAAATGAAAGAATCATAAGATGAAGGTCTTTAACTTTTAATCCTTTTACAATGAACCCTTAGATAGACATGGGGGCAGGGTGCCTTCTATGTGAGTAATAATGCCTCTGTTCCTCTTCACTAGGTTAATGAATACCCTAAATGTCCCAAGATCTGATTTTCTTCCCCCCTCCCAAAACTATTGAAATTAGAGCAAAGAGACGGGCGGTAAAACGCACCGAGAGACTGAGCGAGGGAATGAATATGCATTCGGAGATACCGAACTGAGCGTTAGAGAAAGCGCGGCTGGCTCGTCTCAATGAAAGACCCACGGGTTTAAAATGATTAGCATAGATTCCCTCCGAGTTTTCGAGGAGAAATTAAAAAAAAAAAAGAAAAGAGTTTTTTTTGGCTCCCAGATAAATAAGGAAAAGGCTTTCTGCACTGTCAGAGAGCCTTTGAAGAACACGTGGAGAGTTTGTTTTCGCAGTCGGTATCTATGAGATACGAACTGCCGGCTCTCCCAGCACGTAAAAGTCAAACACGTCCCTAATTGGGCCGGGTCCCGACGGAGCCGCGGGACAGCTGCGGGTTCCGCGGAGCCCCGCGGGCCGGGCCGGGCCGGGCCGGGCGGTTCCGCAGCACCCGGGGCAGCGGGCAGAGGGCAGGGGGCAGCGGGCAGGGGGCAGCGGGCAGAGGGCAGGGGACAGCGGGCAGGGGACAGCGGGCAGGGGGCAGCGGGCAGAGGGCAGGGGGCAGCGGGCAAGGGGCAAAGAGCAGGGGGCAGCGGGCAGGGGCAGGGAGCAGGGGCAAAGAGCAGGGGGCAGCGGGCAGGGGCAGGGAGCAGGGGCAGGGAGCAGGGGGCAGCGGGCAGGGGCAGGGAGCAGGGGGCAGGAGACAGCGAGCAGGGGGCAGCGGGCAGGGGGCAGCGAGCGGGGCTCGGGCACCCCGGCAGCACGGGCGGCAGAGCTCGCTGTCCCGGGCTGCGGGGCACGCTGCTCCCCGGGCTGCCTGAGGACAGGAGGCTCGAGGGTGCAGCCCCCGAGCCCCGGGCAGCCCGTCAGGGTGGCGATGGCCCCGCGCTGGCGGGAGCCCAAAGAGTTAACGGGGCCGGTGCGGGCGGTGTGCGGGGCTGTCACAGGATCGGGCTAATAACGTGTCTGCGCTGAAACCCCCCAAAGCCCAGGGGTCAAGTTTCAGCAGTGTCCCACCACAATGGTAGGTGTGAAAGACACGTGTCCCGTTGTAAATGAAATGTCAAGCGGTTAAAAGAAAAATCCCCGAGCAGCTGCCACCGAGCTCGCCGGGGCTGCGCGGCCGCGGGGGACACGCGGGCAGGAGAGCAGGGACCCCCCCGCCGGCCGCCCCCGTCCTGCGGGCCGGAGCCCGGCCGTGTAGGTGCCGCAGAGCTCCTCTAACAGAGTCGTGAGCAGGTTCCCACCTCCCCCTGACACCACGAAACGTCCTGCTGAGCGTGGAGAACGAGGAGGAGAGAGAAGAAAGCCCCCCCGACGGCGGCCAAACCAAAAAGCAAACAGAATCCAAACGGCTCATGTTTTAGTGGTTGACTTTAATTCTGCACTGCACTTTTACTACAAGGATATAAAGAATAAATAGCAGATACTCTTCATTTACATAGGATTAAGTCATTCGAACTGTTCTCTCTATTTACAATAACATTGTGCTCTAGGCGTTTATTCATTTTTATTTTAAATCTGAAGTCCGTAAGGAAAAAAAAAAAACAACCCTCACACACACGCTTTCCGAATAATGGAAAATATTATCAAAGTTTTCTTATCAAAAAAGTTTGGTTTTTATTTTTTAATCCTTTTATTAAAAAAAACACCCAACAAAAAACCTACTTCGCCAAAGCGAAGCAACTTCTCTCTGGAATATAAATACCAAAAAAAAAAGAAAAAAGAAAAAAAAAAAGAATACATTAGCAACGATCAGGGTAATAGTCTTGAAAATACAGTAGACGCTGATTATTTCACGTATAATACTGACCTTTTAATAGTATATTAAACCGGTGCCATATATACACACAATATACATTCTCCTACACGTTACAGTGCATTACAACGTTAACCAGAAAGCAAATGTCTTTTATTTCTGTTGCAGCAAAGGTCCACGTGAGTCCGCTGGAGAAGGGGCGCGAAGGGAAGTGCCAGCCCTAGCAGGAGCACTTACACTCCGAGATGATGGGGTACTGGATGGGTATCCATGTGCATCTCTGCCCGCCCCGGCGCTGGCACCTCCACCTCAGGATCGTTAAATGCACGGACTTGGCAGGTTTGCAAACCATGCCTTCGGGGACTGAACAAGACCTTTTACTGTAGCAGCTGCCCACTTTGACATACCGGGGCCAAAAGCGGCTGCCGAGATCGTTCCACGTGTATAGGACCGGGCAGAAGGTCTGGGACCAAAGCCACATCTGCAGCTTCCTGCGCAGCTTCTTGCTCAGCCTGTGCTTCTTGCCCGGCTGCAGCCCGTCGTAAAACTCCAGCCCTTTGATTTCGCTGGGCATCGCTCCCGAGGGTCTCTGCCTGAGCAGCAAGTCCAGCTCAGCTAGATCGTCCACTCCGAGCCGGTCCTCGGGCAAGGAAACAGCCATAAAGTTGGGGTCGAAGTGTCCGCCCATGAGGTTCCTTAGCAAGGTCTCGTTAAGATCCTTCTCCTTGGGGTCAAATATAGGATCCGGGTGCTCGATTAGATCCACCAAGGGCAAGTTGTCGCTGGGAGCCGGTCGGATGTGCAGATAGTGCTGGCAGGCGCCCTGCTCTAGCCGGAGACCCAGCAGAACCACCAAGGCGTATATAGTCACAAGGCACTGGGAATGATCCATCCTTGGGAGACTGGGGGGTGGGGGGAAGGGGGGGCTGGATTCACCAAACAGCAAGGGAAGAAGGTGCAAGCAAATACATCAGAAAACTTGTACGGGGATATCCAAAATAGCTCGTCTTTGAAGGGCACCACGATCTCCACTCGCCGCACCACCGGCAAAGACAGCCCCCTGATAAGCGCGGAGAACAAGCCCCCTGCAAACACTCTCTCTTGCAGGCTTCTCTATAAAATTTCTCCTGGTGGAGCCGCTCCAAAATTCTGCTGCTGCTGCTTCTTCTCGCCCTTCCCGGGAACGGGAGATGCCTCTTTTTGTTGCGAATTCTGCTTGTTGCTGCCGCTTCTCCTTGTCTGCCCGTGCGTGTGGAAGAAGTAGCTGCCGATTCTTCCTCCCCGCTCCTCTCCGCCGTTTGCAAAGCAGCCTCCTCAGCAGCAACAAGCAGCCACGCACGTTGGCACCAGTTTGTCTGCTTTGCAAGGACCCAAAGCCTTTAAATTTCCTGCACTTTCAGCTTCATCTCCATGGAAACCACAGACTCTCTCCTAACCCACCCCACCCCCCTTAAAACCCACACACACAACGCAACCCCCACTCCCACAAAAGTCCAGGAGAGCGCGGCTTCCCCCTTCCCACCGGCAGGCACCCTCTGCTGGGGAAGGCTGAGGCGGGAGCCGCCGCCTCCCCCCGCCCTCCGCACGCCGCCGCTCACGCGAGCCGCCGCGCCCCGGGAGATGCTGCCCTGCCCGCGGCCACCGGCACAGCGCGGAGCGGCGGGATGCCCGCGGCGCCGGGGAGAGCCGGGAAGAGCCTCCCGCGGGTGAGCGCGGGCAGAGCGCCGGGGAGCTGCGGTGGGAGGAGGCGGCTCCGCGCACCTCGGGGCTGCGGCCGGGTGGGACCCCGCGTACGGAGCTGCGGTCCCCCGAGACGAGCCCGGGCGCTCGGCTCCCATGGCGGATGCTCCGGGGACCGCCCGGCCCCGCTGCTCTCCCCCGGAGCACTTGCTCAGCGATTTTCTGCGGAGTTCGCTAAGACTTCATCAGGAACGCAATTTCCAGTTATTGCCCTCAGTCCATACAGGAAAGATGGAAAGTGCCTCAATGGAAATACATAAAACAATTTAAAATTTGATACTAAATGCCACTTCCATGGCAGAATTACTGTCTGGCAGAGAGCACTTACACGGTGTGGCAGGCAGCATGGCTGTAAGGCTCTATTACGGTTTGAGTAAAATTTCCTGAAGTGCTTGAATCCCATTCCTGCAGGCTATTTAGGCACTTAGGAGCCTAAGTTTAATGGGACTGAAGCTAAGCCACTTCACCTAAATTATTTATGCATTTGTTTAAATCTTAACCTTCAAAATTAAGTTCATTATGAAAGTAGTACATAGATCATATTACCAATATTGGGTGTTTTTTATAAAAATGATATTTTTTCAACTATTTTCACTCCAAATTTTAAATTTAAAAGAACTCTTAACTTTGCTTTATTCCAGAACATATAGGGCATTTTATAAATACTAGATAAGTGAAAAAAATTACATTAAAAAGATGGAAAACTGACCTAAGGTCAACACTGTGGAAGAGCCTCACAGTGACATTTGCTGTTACAAAGATCTGCTGGATTTTTATTACAATTTTTTTCACCTGCAAGTTGAGGTCTCTACCTTGACTCAGACCCTAGTAAACTTTATTTGCTGAAATTTGGCATAAAAGTTGTCCCTTGATATAAGTGAGAAGCCACACCTCAGAAACAGAAGCAAAACATTCAGAAGTTACATCGTATAGCTTGTATTTATTTTTTAATAATAAATTAAGTTTAACTCAGCTGGTATTTGAAACCAGTTCTTTAACTACCAGTCTTTTAGGTCTAAAAAGCAAAGCTAATAAGGCCTGTGTACCATCTATTCCATGCCAGATGTTTAAGATTCCACATTCAAAATTGTGACCCTAAACAAGGACTGGAAGACAAGACCTTTTCCTCCTCAGCTGAGTTACCTGCACAATGAAATGTTTCTGGAATGAGTCTCTTTAAGCCTTTCTGTCCCTCTTTAAGCCCCAGATGTGTTCTGAGCAGAGCAGGCTGGGGCTCAGTAATTCCTCAAGCATGGATGTCTGCCTTGCCTCGGGTACACTGGGCTCTGGAGAGGCCATGAGAGCTTGAGGGATGTAGAAGTGACAGAAGTCACTTGTGGCCCAAGAATTTCTTGGTGGCATGGCTGACAGCAAGACAGGGAAATAGCTGCCAGTAACTCTGCCAGAGGCCTCTGGGTCAGAGGGAAAAAGAAACTGGTTTATTCCAAGACTTGTTGAAAACAGCAGTAAATGAAACCTGGAGGTGAAGGGCATGATCCAGGGTCTGTGTATGATGCCAGCCCTTCCTGGGATAGGGAGAGAGGCCAGCAGCTCACAGAGGCCTTAGCTGGTCATGCTACTGGCAATGATGCATGAAGCAGAGTAGAACAACTCCCTTTGCCTCAGCTTTATTGGTTCTGGAGTGCTGTCAGCACTGAAAATGTGTTTTTTCAGTAGACAAAGCAAATACAACCTTCAAGGCACACAGGAAGCCAGTGTGGGCAAGAGGAAGATGCCACTTCTTCAGGGTGACATCGCTGATGAGGAGAGAAGAGGAATGCAGCCTGCACAGCTCTGAGGCACAGCTCTGCAAACACAGTATGTAAGCAGCTGACTCCAGTCCACAGCAGCCAGGATGCACAGAAACAATTCAGAATAGATTTGTTTCCTGTTAAATCTACTAACAGAAAATGGCCTGGCCTACTTCATCCAACCTAGGGCTCAGGGACAGCCCTCTGAATTCAGCCCGTGGTTTCAAATCAGCCTGATCTGCAAGCAGTGGCCTCATGCACCACTCTAAACCACAGAGGCAATCTCACAGAAGGTAATAAAACACTGTGAAACTGGGATGAAGAAGAGCTATGCCAGGTGTGATTGGCAAAGCTGTGCCTTCCTTAGGAGTGGAGGCTTCCTTAGAACTACTCTTGCTTCCCTTCACTTAAATCATGCTCGCATTGCCTTTTGCTTCTCGTTTTAAAAAATCCATTGGCATGACATGATTGTTAAGGGAATGAAGGGAAAAGCAACAGCATAACCTAATGAGTCCTCTGCTCCACTGTCACGCAAATTTCTCATACGGCTTTGGGCAGGACATTTCATAGCTCTGCCTTTCCTTATCTGTAGAGCAGGAATGATAATCCTTGCCTCTTTCATGAAGTGTTGGAGAGTTTGATTAGATGCTACCTGTATCTAAATTCAGAGTCTCCTGTTTTACTAAAATTGTAGAGGAAACCTGTGTTTGAAAGAGCAGACAACTGAATTAAAACAACTTCAATTTTAGTCTTAGGTCCTAGCAAGCTGCTAGTTTCCTCTTCCTTTATACACCTGTATAAATTTTATAAGGAATTTCCTTTCTACCTTTTCTTTAAAAACTGAATCCCTAAAGAAATTCTAAAGGAGATGCACAGCTTGCAGCCATTTTACATAGCCCAGATATTTCAGACGACAAATCTACATTATGAGCTATCAAGGGTCATGTATGACCTTCCCTGGAATCCATGTACCACAGGTAGAAAACCACCATTCTACTAGTTTGAAACTACGTTCTTTAGTGTGGAAAGATTCAGGGAGATCCTGCTGGATCTTTGAAATGTGGTGCTCTGTCCCTCTTCCCTCATGAAGAAGGTACCTCATCAATTTCCCTGCCCCTTTCTTCACACACAGCGTAGGGACTGTGCTGAGGATGATGATAGCAGGTGATCAGCTGCTCTGGAGGAAAACATTTATGAATCAAAAGCTTTGGAAGGTAAAACATACTTTGAGAGGCCAAAGTTCTACCTTGAAATCCCAACAGAATGGAGACAGGGAAGGATACATTTGGCCAAGAACACGTATCTACAGTGATAAATAATATATAAATAATATATTTTGAAACTAAGCTCTGGGATGAATGTTTTATAGAGGAGTAATTCTTAAAATGACTAATGCATTAAAACAATGAAGAAAAAAAAACAACCCCCAAAAAAGGATACCCCACAAATAAAAACCAGTTATTTCTTAGTCTTTTAAGTACAGCTATACATAGATGCATCCATTGCCTTAAGAAAAATGTCCTTAAAGAATTGCTGTATTTTTCTCATTATATGGCATTCTTCCTCCTAAAATACTCTGCCTCCTTGATTCTCAGCCCACTCTCTTCTTACTTCTGCATTTTTCCTAAGGTATAGACTTTTGTCTTTAGACCAGAGCTTGTGCATTCATCTGCTGATAAACTGTTTATCTTAGCTTTTATGAGGGCGCCTTGCTGCAAGCCAGCCAGAGACAGGATCCTGGGTGTTTGTCTTTTTTTTAAAGAGGGTCCGGGAAGTGACGGGTATTTATACCTCCCTTGGCTCTATATATCATGGGAGGTGGAACTCCACTGTCTCTGTTTCTTGCTTTTTCTCCCAGCAGTGTCTTCTGCCGTAAATCTGAATCTCTCAGAACAGTTTTCTTGGCTACAACCCTACTTGGAGGAATTAGTTTTAATTATTTATTTATTTAGGCAAAAAGTTTGCAACAGAGGAAACCCAAAGTTCTTCTAAATCCTCCCCCTCCTCTACCCCACCTAAACATCCTACTTTTTGTGCCAAATCCTATCATCTCAGCAGTCAAGAGAAAAGACCAGCATCTCACAGTGTGCAGACCAATTCATTACAGGCAGAGAAGCCAGTGGGAGAATTGGAAAAGATGAAACAGAAACCAAGGCATTTTTTATGTTAAAAAATGACACTTATATTTACAAGCAATGGCTCCTGAAGGGGATCTGAATCTCCACACAGGCAACATTGTTTATCCAAACAAGCTCCCTGTGGCAGCATGTATTGCATATATACACACATGGCAAGCAGCATTGTATTTATTCATTTTAGCCAGCCTGGTCATTAAGAGAGACATCTATTGAGATAAACCAAGTTTTTACTATTCCTTTTTAATAAAATGCTAAAGACAGCTGAGGGACAAAGATTCAATGAAGCGAATAATACAGCAACCTCCCCCAATCAAGCCCTGTGTGCTTGGGAGTGATTCATTGATGCCAGCTACTGAATAACCCTGATACATAACATTTCTCACCTCTGATATTTAAAAAGACCCCCTCGCCCTTTTAGCACCAATGGAGCCCTTCAAATGTTTTATTGCTAATTGTCTAATGCTACGTGATGAATGACTGCTTGACTGAAAATGACAACCCCTTTTCTCTCAACTACTTCATTTTCCTGGCTCCACTGGGGGTGAAGAGGAAAAAAATAAATCCAATTACATCATATTTACCCCGTTGGTTATGAACGAAGGAAAACTGAAACTTATTTTAAAAGGTTCTGAAAAAAACTGAAACTTATTTTAAAACTTCTGTCAACTCAGGCCTGAGCCCTCAGGTCCCCTGCACTCCGTAAATGTTGCCTCAGACTCTGGTGTAAGAGGTTCCAAGAGACTCATGGATTTTGTGGAAGTACAAAGTCCAAGAAGCAGGGTCTCATCCTGATCAGAGACAGGAACAGGATCCC